TAAACAGGTGAAATAGGTAGTTCTTGATAACTGGCTGTTTAGTGATTAAGAACTTGTGGAGCCATCTATGTGTAAATACAATAAATAAACGTGTCTCAAAGTGGGTATGGCATCTATTCTTGCCACGTGTGGCGAATGGGTTAAGAAAAAGGATTTAACCCAATCAGTGTGGATGGCAAGAATGCCATGCCATGCCCACTGAGATATAAGTTCAGCTATTATCTTTACACACAGATGGCTCTACAAGTGCTTAGTCACCAAGGAGTCGGTTATTAGTCCTACCAATCTCATCACTTTACCCTTTTCTTTGATTTTTGTAAAGTTTCTTTCATACTATTTCATTGTATTTCAATATTATTAAAAAGGAAAACACATTTTCTTGCAATTTCAAGGAATGGGAAAATCAGGAGCAATTACTGGGGCCTACTGATAGACTCCTTGCTGGCTGAGCACATGTGGAGCCATCTTTCCGTAACAAAATTCAATAAAAGTACAGGAAATCCAAAGTCATTGGGTTAATACCAAGTAAAATTCTAGATGTCTTTCTACTCTTTAGAATTGCTGATTATCAACATATTCTTATACTTTTTTTGTTTTGATTTATGGTTCAGAAATGCTTATTTCTTTGTGTCAGTATATTTTATTGATATTGAGATTTTGAGCTGAAAAATTAATTACTAATATGTTACCATACAGCTTTATGCCATAGTTTGATATAGGGTTGTTCTTCTTCCTTTTTTTTTCTCTCTTTTTCTCTTTTTCTTGGTTGCTTGCTTGCAATTCCATACCCATTGTCATCGTGGGGAAGGGGTGCTTAGGAGATGGAGACTGAGGCCCAAAGTTGGGATATCACCTATAGCCCTATTGAAAGGATTAAAGGTTGGCTTTTGTTCAGTCCTGAACAGTATCAGTGATCAATGTGCACAGTATTCCTCAGTTTAGTGACTAAGCTCTTACCCCATATGAGAACCCTGAGGGATAATCATTTCTTTTCCCCAATGGCCAGTAATGACTTTATATCAAGATTAGGAGCATTGAGGCTTGCCCCTTTATTTATTTGCCTTACTAACTTTTCCAGTTTTCCAACCCCTGGTTTTCCTTTGGTCACAACTCTGAACACTGCTACCCCACCTACCCAGGTCATTATCCAACCTACAAAAACATTCCTTATTCCCTCCTAACATCCTCCACTGCATCTCATCCTCCACAGTCTTCTTCATTTTCAACTCCTTCCTCTCTATTATTACTCTTCATCCATATTATCCACCTCCTACAGTATTGGCTCAACTCCATGCCTTCTTCTTCCTGTCCTCATCCTTCAACTACTTCCTCTTCTGCAAATATTTTAAGTACTCTTTTTAGTTCAGCTAGTAGGATTAACTTTTGTTAGATTTTCCCTACAACTCCTTATTCTGATCTCTTCCAACAGTGTCTCTAAAAAGTTTGCTAAGTTTCTTTCCACAGCCCTTCTAATGGCTGCCACAGTTACATCTCATCCCAAGCTTGTTCATTATCTACCCTGACTAACCTGACTGGCAAACCCATTCCTGCCCAGCCTCATTCCTCCCTGGCTAATTGGCTTATTTACAACAAGGACTGGTTAGACTTAAAAAAACAAACAAACACTTGCCTGCCTTGTTGACAATGGTGCAGTATCAGTACAGTAGTGTTACAGAGGTCACCAAAATCCTACACCATTATTGCCAAGATTACCTCCCGTAATTTTGGCCTCCCCCAGGAATTTTTTATAGTGGCAAAGAGTCCTGCCCTGTCATATTGACTGTATTGACTCCTTCCCCATTAATGTAGAAATGCTAATGTTTTGACCATCCTGCCAAACACTCTCTCCACATCTCACTGCCCTCTTTGTGTCCAGCCTGGTCATGATCGTTCAAATTACCCTGCACAATCTTGTGTGGTAATTGCAGTGGCTCCTACAATGTATTTTATAGGGGCAGCCATAACTTATAACTACAAGTTTAAGTTGGAGGTAGCAGTTCTCAGGTTCTTTTCCATATCTAAATCCAGACACTCCAGCCTCTACTTCCCTTACCCCTTCTTCTCACTCTACTCATTGCTTCAAACAATCTAAATGTTCCACCTCATCTACTGCATCCTCCCCTCAAACATCTCCTTTTCTTCCCCTCTTAAGAAAATCTTTGCATCTCAGACCTGCCCAATGAACTCCCTTTCAGAAACTCTTGAAAATTTATAAAACTCTAATCATAACTCAAGAAAAACATACCTATACCCCATCCACCCTCCAATCCCTCTGCTCCTATTCCTTCTACAATTAAAGTGACTGCCAACATCCATTCTCCTCCTTCTCATGTTCCTCCTAAACCCCTTCCTCTCACTTCCTCCCAACATATCTCGTCCTCCCATCCGTTGTTTGTTGTACATATGTGAATCCCCTTTTTGACAACAGTGTCCTTCCACAGATCCTACCCCTCCTGACACTTCTTCCTGATCCCTTGTCTCATTTATAGTATCATGATTT